ACCAGCAAAACTGGTTCACGACTAAATCCAAGCCACATTTGATGTGTGCGGTTGTATAATCTGCCCTTAGTAATATAAATCTGAGACATTTCTGCTGGACTCTAATATATAATATATATATATAAATATTTATAAATCTGTGGTAGTCTAAGCTTCTTAAGTTCTTTACATTAAATGTGTTATTACCTGACTATCCTGAACAATCATCTAATGACGGACTGAGCTGTCAGCACACAAACTGAGCGTCTGAATGAGGCAGCAGGGGTCAGAGCAGAGAACAGAGCTGCTGATGGTAGAGAAACCCACCCTGAACTGGAAGGAAACTGGGCTGATCTCCTTGAAGCAATCGTCCCCCTCATAAATGGAGCGAAGAGCTTCCAGCTCCATCTAGGAGAAAAGAAACAGAGATTGGTCGTCACTATTATCCCTGCAGCAGGAAATTATTTTTAAAAAAAGTTTCAGTTTGTTTCCATTAATGCTGAATTTAACTTTATTTCAGTTAAAACCTGTTCACACGTCACTGCTTAAGACAACTGATCCCTATTTATTCACTGGATTGCTGATAGCCAGGAAAAAGTGAAACCACTGCCGCCATATTGGTACTCCCCACTCCCACATAGACTTGCCATAAAAACGCCTCCCTGTGCAGCAGTTTTCTGTCTGCAGGAAGACGTTCCTCAGGTCATTTCCCAGTCAGTAGATGAACTAAGCAATAAATCTATCTATAGCCGATGGATCCTATAGTTTAGTCTGTAGACTAACATTAGTCTGGCTATCTCAGACTGACTGGAAGACATTGACATTGGGTCTAATGTTAGAAAATAGAAAGTAATTCAATGTGAAATGTTAATGTAGTAATTCTTTATTTAGTGGATGATGCTGTAGTTCCTGTAGTGTTTGTTGTATTTCTCATTTGAAAAAGTCATGAGCTAAAATATATTCAGTGTTATATTGATGGAACAAAAGCAGCTCAAACATTTGTTCCACATACAGTGCGGACGAAAAGTTTGGACACACCTTCTCATTTAAAGAGTTTTCTTTATTTTCATGACTATGAAGGCATCAAAACTATCGATTAACACATGTTGAATTATATATTTAACCAAAAAAGTCTGAAACAACTTAAAATATGTCTTATATTGCATTATTCCATTCCACCTGTGATTGCTGCTTCGCTCAGTCTTGGCATTCTCTTGAGGAGCTTCCAGAGGCCGTCACCTGAAATGGTTTTCACTTCACAGGTGTCCCCTGTCAGGTTTAATAAGTGGGAATTCTTACCTTATAAATGGGGTGTGGACCACCAGTTGTGTTGTGCAGAAGTCAGGTGATAGTCAAACTGAATAGACGGTTAGAATTTGAATTATGGCAAGAAAAAAGCAGCTAGGTAAAGAAAAATGAAAGGCCATCATTACTTTAAGAAATGAAGGTCAGTCCGTTCGAAAAATTGGCAAAACTTTAAAAGTGTCCCCAGGTGAAACTGGCTGAAATGAGGACCGCCGCAGGACAGGAAGACCAAGAGTCACCTCTGCTGCGGAGGGTAAGTTCATCCGAGTCACCAGCCTCAGAAATGGCAGGTTAACAGAGTTCTAGCAGCGGGCACATCTCTAGAACAACTGTTAAGAGGAGACTGTGTGAATCAGGCCTTCATGGTAAAATAGCTGCTAGGAAACCGCTGCTAAGGACAGGCAACAAGCAGAAGATATCTGCTCGGGATAAAGAACCCTAGGAACGGACATTAGACCAGTGAAAATCTGTGCTTTGGTCTGATGAGTCCAGATTTGAGATCTTTGGTTCCATCGTGTCTTTGTGCGTGACATATATGGGTTTTAAATTTGATGTTCTTTGACAAGCATACAAGTTTTGTATCACAAATAAAGCACTCTTATTACCTAAGCACACTCATTATCTAAGTTTCTGTTTCCTTGAGAGCATCAAATAATTTGTTTTTGTACTCACGAGCTCTCGGTGCCATGCTCCGACCATGATGTAATAGTGATTTTGGTTTCGGCTGTCCACGAGCCCTGGGTGGGTTCGGGGAGTGCCCGTTCCATATTTTGTTTTTTGTAATCATGCACTTAAGGCGTGAGAGGGAGCGATCACTTTTCCTGATTGGGTGAAAGATTTTCCTTAGAAGTTTGGCGTAAATGACGTGTGGCGGTTGGCACTGGCGGGGTCTGCTAGGGTTGCGTATGGACGCCTAGCTGCGCGGGTTGCTGCCCTGCCGGGATCGACCGGCCCTGCAATCCTTGTGTCACGGTAGGGGGACAATATAAATTGTATTGAGACAATATAATTTGTTTTCAGCACCGTGCCTTGATTGATGTGCTTGCTTTGCTGTTTTCTGTGGCGGAATAAAACGACACATTTTAATTCTAGCAGAAACAGCTTGTGTGTTCTGTGTGTGCATCTTTATTGCCGACTCATCCCGATCCTGTCTAAATTTCATAATACAGTGCGACGCAGAAAAGGTGAATGGATGGACTCTACAAGCCTGGTTCCCACAGTGAAGCATGGAGGAGGAGGTATAATGGTGCTTTGCTGGTTACACTGTTATGTATTTATTCAACATTGAAGGAATAATGAACCAGAATGGCTACCACAGCATATTGCAGCGGCGTGCTATTCCATCCGGTTTGCGTTTAGTTGAACCATCATTTACTTTTCAACAGGACAATGACCCCAAACACCATTTGACCAAGAAGGTGAGTGATAGGGTGCTGCATCAGATGACCTGGCCTCCACAATCGCCCGACCTGAACCCAATGGAGATGGCTTAAGGTGAGCTGGACCGCAGAGGCAAAAGGGTTAACAGGTGCTGAGCATCTCTGGGAACTCATTCCAGACTGATGGAAGCTCATCAAGAGAACGCCAAGAGTGAGCGAAGCTAGAATATGAGACATATTTCCAGCTGTTTCACACCTTTTTGTTAGTTTATAATTCCACAATTCAGTTTTTATGCCTTCAGTGTGAATCTACAATAATCATAATTATGAAAATAAAAAAAAACTATTTGAATGAGAAGGTGAGTCCAAACTTTTGGTCTGCACTACATTCTGCTCCATTAACACATTCATTTTATTGTGATGGGTTTGTATAACATGTCATATTACATGGTTTGCAATGTGATGTGTCCATTTTTACCATAAATTACGGTAATCTACTGACGCTGTGAAACAGCCAGTCTGGGTCAAAGTGATGAATTTATCTTTATTTATTTATTTTAAATTCTTCAGTCCCCCTGAAAATGAGAACGCCATCTTTGTTCGATGCTGTAGCGCACAGATTGTTTACATTCCGACAGGTCTAAGTAGGGAGTACCAATATGGCGGCCGGTGGCTTCACTTCAACCCAATACTACTAACAGGCAATCAGCGATCGGTGAATAANAGGTCTAAGTAGGGAGTACCAATATGGCGGCCGGTGGCTTCACTTCAACCCAATACTACTAACAGGCAATCAGCGATCGGTGAATAATTAGAGATCAGTGGGGAGAGTCGATCGGACTGGATCCGATAAACAGAGCTTTGCTAACAGCTAACAGCCGCTAGCTGCTAACAGCTGCTAGCCGCTAACAGTTGCTAACAGCTGCTAGCCTCCAGAAGCTATGCTGCTGTTTTCTTACCTCCTGATCTTCGTTCGCTGTCATGTTTCCTCTAAGGCTCTTACGTCATACGGTCCACGCGCACAGCTTCACAGCAGAAGGGAGCCGGTTAGCGACACATTGCTGCCGTTCCACCGTACCTGATGACCGGGAGCAGCGCCGCCCGGTGCTGCCTGTCTGCTGGTCACCCTCATGACAGTGCGCGCATGCGCAGTGGAACGCACGTGTCCTCGAACTTTTACCGTTTCTGACTCTTCTGTTGTAAGAAAAACAACAAATACCTTAAAAATAAAAAATAAAACGTAGAAGTAGAGATGATACCTTTATTAAATAATGTTTTTTTATTAACTTATATTAATAAATATTAAAACGTGTGGATTTTACCCAACACAAAAA